AGAAAGCAATCTTGGGGATCAAGGCCAACGGACATTTAATACTTTCTAATTGGGGGTGGCTACGAAAGGGCTAATTTTTTGGGGAAAATAATTATAGGGGGGTTGCGTTCAGGTTTTGGCGGGCAAACCACAGTGAACACAAACGAAAGCCAATAGTATAAGAATAAAGAATCTAACGCCTTCTAGCGTACGTCACAAATTTGCCAAGGTTTGAACATATCCGCAGCATTAGTGCTATCGATATGTCCAACTGCAAACAATTAAATGAGTCAAGAAATTCATCCTATAGAAAAAGGGAGAGGAACATTTCTTTGCTATGCAAATAAGCCATTAACATGCAGAGAACATTTGCTGCACGCGAAGGAAAGTTTCACAATCAGCGAATAGCTTAATTAGAACAAAATTATTATACATTATTTAGTTATGTCATAGCGATTTTTTTTATGTTTATGCTAAGTTAACTTAAGTTAGCTACCCCATTTAGTAGTTGAATTATTTTTGAATGTTGTGCATTAGTAGAAAATTTTAAATTTGGTAAAATAGTCCTTAATTAACAAAATTCTGAGATACAGGTTTTTCCATTTTGGTGATAACGTGGTATGCTAACTTTACGACATGGCGCGTTCGCAGCTTAACATGCCAATCCGAACCCCCCATGTTGTTATAATTTTTTCGTAATGACAAACAGCCAATTTTCCTGGGACATCTTCCCATGGCGCAGCGTGATACATTGCGCGGCCTTCAACGAGTGTTGAAAGGGCATTATTTTTCTTAGTGGCGGCGATTCGTGGAACAGACTTGACAACTACGTAAAAGGCCCCTCCTTTACAACTTAATCGTCCCAAGCGTGGACCGGCATAATTTCTTGAATTTGTGGTTGCCAACGAAACATTTAAAGTTTTAGTTAATTTATGTAACATTTCTTATTATATTAAATGTAATAATATATTAAATTTTTTAATGATAGATTGTGTAATGCCTTTCGCTAGGTTCTCGCTACTAAGCAGCGATTGCAGCAATTGCAAAAATCTTCCAGTACAGTGATGCAATAGTATTGATTCGCAAGGGAAGCTAGTCCCTGTAGAGCTGTTGGAGCGAGGTTTCAAGTACAGCAGACAATCGAGAAGTTTGAAGTTTTTATGAAAAGAGAGCTGCAGAGCAGCGTGAAGTTGACACAGCATAGTCTCTGCTGGTCTGTCCGATATGCAACGTAGAGATGTTTAATGCGAAAACAGAGATTTTACGAGGTCATTACGCCACCCCCCCAGAATCGCGCATCCTGGACGCAATGAAGCCTACATAACTGTCAAGAGGACTTTGGCCGTTTTGAAAACTCACAAAGTCCCAACATTCCTTTCCGACGTCTGGTCCGTTTATGCGTTGACGGCGGTTTGGAGCGCACCAATCACCCATGACCTTAAGCAGGCGCCTGCCTACCAGACGCGACGCTAATTAAAACATGTTGAAGGTGAATATTCCTTTCACCGACTAGTTGAAAAGAAATATTTCATATGCTCTTTCTTAACAATGCGACTTCATATTAGTAGGTGCATTTACCATTGAATTGTGTTGTTTTAAATCTATTTTATTATTATGCGATGATCTCATCGACGCAACTGCAATGTTTCGACTCACCCTTGTCACGGAATTAAAATTCCGACCACAGTGCGCTATTCAGTTGCCAATTCGTCACACCACGTGCCAGGTTTGGCGCGAGCAAACCGCACCACCTCCTCCTCAAAAAAAAAAAAAAAAAAAAAAAAAAAAAAAAAGGCGTTGGAGTTGCAAACACAGCGGTCCCCCGGCCATCTTCACTATCCTTCCCTCGTGCGAGGAAGCCCGCCTCACCACCCCCTTCGTTCTTCCATCTGCTGTCCGCGCGCTGTGATTCTCCAATAGTCCAAATTATGGAGCATACTTGTCCCCCGGCTGTTGTCATCTTAATGTACCCCATTTAATTCCCTTCAGCAAAAACGTTCACTTGCTTATCTCTCTCTAAATGTTCTACGTGAGTTACCATGTTTTAAACCCAAACCCTTCAATTGTAAATGAACAAGGGAGTCCAAAAATATTCGAACATTCAAAGTTTACAGTGAAAATAGGTCCTTGAAATTCAAAGAATTATTTTCAAAGTCTCATGGCTTAGAGTCGGGCCAGATCGGTCGAAGAATATTCATTTTGTGCTCGGCAATGGTCAGTTTGATCACCGGAACAGGCACGTTAGCGAAGTCAGTAGTACTCCGCCTGTTAATCCCCGCCTGTATCAACAAATCATTAGAGGGACAGCAGACAGCTGGCATTGTCCTCACACCGCGTGATCACCACCTGCCTGTTAGGGGAGCCCTTATTTTGAAAAAGGTGGAATTTTATCGACTTCCACCCGGAAATTGGTGTAGAATGTCGACAAACTAGCCCTAATTTTTTTCCAGATTTTTTCAAGCAAAATAACCTGTGCCGATAAGCAGTTGACATTTAACACAGAGGCGCTTCTGACAATAATTGGCTTTCGAACTTCACTTTTAGAAATTTCTTTGTAAAATTATGACACGTGATATACTTAAGTTTTTGGGGTCGTTGAGCTCGAATTTGCTATCAAAAATTAATTTTTGTTAGTCCTAGCTGTCAACAGTGTCATCAATTTAAACCAATATAACTTTTTTTTCTTTCATATAATGGCTATTGTCATTTCATAGGTTTTTTGAGACGCTGAATTCAAATGTGCTGTCATGTAAATAAAGTTTTAAAATAAACTGTTATGACATCTGTGACCAATAATTAAAAATGTCACTTTTAATCACTGGAACTATCAAAAATTAAATTTAGGCATCAAATTTGAATTCAGCGGCACGAAAACTCTAGAAATGACACCACTATTTATTACTTATTACTATTATTATTGTTGTTGTTAATATTATTGTTATTCTGGAGAGAGCCGGGTATGTTTGTGTAGGTTTACGTAGGTTGCTCTTATTGTATATTCTTTTATTTCAGCAGTCGTTCTTTCATTGTATTACTTTATAATTTGCTGTGTTGTATGCAGATTCGGCGCGAAAGTGCGATCTCGCAGCACGGGCATCATCATCAACGACGAGATGGACGATTTCTCGGCGCCGAACATCACGAACGCGTACGGGGTGCCTCCGTCGCCCAACAACTTCATCGCCGCGGGCAAGCGGCCGCTCTCCTCCATGTGCCCGGCCATCGTGGTGGACCCCGCGGGCCACGTGCGCCTGGTGACGGGCGCCGCGGGCGGCACCAAAATCACCACGGCCACTGCCCTAGTGAGTCCGCCTCGCTCGCACACGAATATGTCTTCTCAGTAGGGGCAGGGATCGCTACATTTTCCCTAATTCAAAAAAACTCTCCTGGATGACGGAAAAAAAGTATGTAAGAACCCTTGCAAAACCAATAAAAATCCATTTTAAGTTTTTATTGGTAGTAAAAGTATGGAAAACAAGGGAAGTACATAATAAATTGACAATGAAATGAAGAATTCACTTGCTAATGTTGGCAATTTCAATTTGGGAAACAAAATTTAATTTTATGAAAAAATCTCTATTTTCAAGAATTGAGAGACTCGGGAGTAAAATGTAACCCTTACAATATAGATTTTTTGATAATAACATTTTCGAATGCTTCAATCCATACGCTGTAATTCTCAAACTGTCCAAATTATGGAGCATACTCGTCCCCCGGCTGTTGTCATCTGAATGTACCCAATTTAAACCTCTTCCAGCAAAAACGATCACTTGCTTATATCTCTCTTAATTTTTTACGTGGGTTACCATGTTTTACATCCAAACCCTTCAATTGTAGATGAACAAGAGAGTCCAAAAATCTTCGAACATTCAAAATTTACCATGAAAATAGGACCTAATCCATCATTAAGTGAATTTCACTCTATTCTTACAAGAAATTTGAAGAGTTTTTTTTAAATGTCCCAGGGGCATCGTGTAATAAACCACCGATATTCAAAGAATTCTTTTCAAAGTCTCAAATACTTAACGTTTTAGTATTGGTCACAAAGTGGCACATGTTTTGAAAAAAAAACAACACATTTTAGGTACCAAGGGACCTCAAGCAGTGGCGGCTGCTCCACTAAATGCACCGAAAAATACTTGTAGGAAAATTCAATAGATCGCAGCACTATCACGGGGGAATTTACTTTACTGATAACGTCTGAACCAATGATCCGATTTTCGATCTGTAACGCGGATTTGACGCTTTTTTAAATAGAATTCACGCTACGATGCCTTTTCCAAAATCTAGCAAAATTCAAATTTGAAATTATGTCTCGAACTTCCGAGAAAAAATTAAAAATGTGGCTTAATAGCGCGAGCGACATGCTTGCTGAATCCAAAGCCGTGACAATCATGCAAATCGAATGAAATAGAAGCGTCAGAAAGTGAAATTTACGAAACGCCTCGCCCCCCTCCCCTTCTGCCCTTGCGTCCCCACCCGATTTGTGTGGCCCTCTGTCGACGCGGGGCACGACCAGGCCAGGCCAGCGGCGTGCGGCAGCCCCGAGCAGGCGGGACTTGCGGATACTGTGAGCCAGACAGTCGGTTTATGCTTCGTTCACTTTGGCACTTCCTCAACCTCCTTTCCACAGATACCAAACTAGAGATGCTAATACAGACCGACGTAAACGGTCTGTAATAGTAGTTACATAACTTTTTTCACATATTTCCGTTCCTTTGAATTACATATTAAAATTGTTTGAGACATTACTCAAAATATCGATTCTAATTTGGAACTGGTTTCTCAACAATTGAACTATTCTGTAAATATGCCCCATTAGTCATCTTCTCACACTTATTTAGATTATATTTTACTTCTAGTATTCCTGTTCTTATTAATTTCATTTATTATTATTATTATTATTATTATTAACTGGGCCTGTGCTTCTGTTCCTACGTTCGATTCGGCTATGCCTTTAAATGTTGCAGGCAATTATCACCAACCTCTGGTTTAATACGACTGTGAAGGAGTCTGTAGATGCCAGGCGACTTCATCACCAGCTCTTCCCCATGTCTGTTCAGTACGAGGAAGGCTTCGATGCGGTAAGTCAATTTCGCTTCTTGCACCTTCGACATCTACTGAGAATGTTGAGTATTACGATAATATGTTTACTGTTAACTTCGATTTTCCCTAATTAGTTATTTCATTGACGTCATGCATATTTTGGTAGTTTTCGTGTAATATTACGTCAAATATGTGCATCACAAAACATACTAAAAACCAGAATTACTCAAAAATGGCTCCAATTGCTTTTTTTAAACTTTTCGTAGGGATGTTTCTAATTGTTCTGAGTAAGATAACACAAACGCCGTACTGGTTTATTCTTTTTTATTTTACAAAACGTACACATTTTTTGTCATTTCTCTCACATCCTTAATATTTACATTAGCAGCGACTTGTATACATTATTTCGTATGTTTAATTAATGTCTCATAAATAGAAACAGGAAAACATGTTGTACGAAACGTCAAAATATGTACATAAATATGTAATGAAAACAGTAAGAATATGTAAAATAGGATATAATATGTAATATTAAAATATACAATTATAAAACGAACATTTCTAAAATACAAAATTAAATTTATAAGAAAAATACGATATACGTTTTAAAAGTGCTACAAACGTTTTAAAAATAATTTGAAGAGTTCAAATTGATCCAGGTTTTCTATCATACAACTTTCCCGTCAGTTGTAAAACCTTCATCTACTGATATTCAGAACGGTCGTTTAGCAGCCAGGCAAGAGGCAATAGATACCATCCATCAACCGGTTCTATCATTAGGGATGCAAAAAACTGAAAAAAGGATCTTTAGGTGGCAATGTATGGCAGCCGAGAAGAGGGTGCAGTACAACGGAAAATATAGTTTAGAACAAACAAATAAGGAAACGAAAAAGTTCTAGAAAGTGTGTGCTATTCTGTAGCATCACCAGTTTATTTTATTTCACAAATCACACTACTGGTGCTGTAATTGGGGCAAATATTCTTCTATCCTCAATAACCGAAGTATAGAACTGAATTGATCTTGAAAAATTGTGTGTTTCCAAATAATTCCAACTTTTACCTGGTCATCCTTCGAACAAGTTCCGTAAACCGATGTGACTTGGTGGATCAAGAATGACCAGTAGCAGCTATAGTGGAGATTGGGCGGGAAATATAAAGCGAAAAACGGCAGCGAGTAAGCGAGCCAATCAGTGTTAGTGAACTTGGGCGAATAGACAACATTGCATTCGCAATGTTGTCTATTTGCGAACCACAGTTTCAGTGCCGCGTCGAATTTGGAATTCCCGGAACTCCTCCGCACAAGGTCCAAAAAATTAGCAAAACAAAGTTTTAAAAAAATTGGAATTAAACTCAAACTTTATCGCTTTTTTGTTACTAATTTGTTACGCAAAAATATTATCGCTCTTCATTTGAACTGCTATAAACTATTGTCAAACTGGACATCAAGTTCGCGCCGCAAGTACCAGAAAACAAAGAAATTACAAAAATAAATAAAAAATAATTACATGGAAATTGTCGCTTTTTTTTGTGGCCCAGTAGTACCCGAAATTAAATTTTGTTTCTCTTCTGATACTACCTAATACCAGAAATGCGCAGTTTGCCCTGACTGCGGCGGGTGACGGTGAAGGGGACGACTGTCCGGTGCATATAGGTACCACGGAACAACTTACACCGTGGTTTCAAAGCCGTGGTTGCCAGATTGAATCAGCCGCGCAGAATAAATGAAGATTTTCGGCCTCACATAAAAAAGATGAAGATTCACAATTGTTATATTTGTAGAAGAACCAGAAGTGAAGTTTGAAGTGATGGTAACAGTTTCATGGAAACAGTTCAATGAAATATAAAAAGGACGAGCATATACATTTTCCTTTCGTTTTTCTCCAATAAGCCATGCATATTATTACAACGGATTAATATCTCTGCGCGTCTAGCCGCTACGAAGGATTGGGGTCATGCAGGTGCTAAGAAGGGATACTCACAGCCGTTGCTTTACTGGGGCGGGCGCCAACAAATAGGCGTCATTGCTCCGAACAGACTATCCCCACGATCAAAAATATGTTTGATACCCGCAGTCTTACACGTGCACATACTGCCATTGTTTGAAAAATACTCGCAGAATAATCATAGAATTTGGATGGTAGCAAAGATATTTATTTTTTATTTAGGTCAAAAACAGTTAAAAACTGTGGGTGACGTGTTACGACGAGAAGATCAAAATTCAGGGACTTGATTTGAAGTTACATGAATGTCCAGAAGGAAAACAAGGAGCCGTCTCAGCATTTGCTCAAGGATCAGAGAAACTAGACGAAAACCTGATCGAGATGGGGGTCATTGACTCAGAAGCTGAAGTACAATAATTGTAACAGGTACTTTAAAATTATTGTCCAAATGGTAAATATTACATTACACGTCACTCTTAAAAATAATATTACTTTCCATTCGAATGCTGGTTTTAGTCTCTAAATTAATAGAAACAGGTATACAGTGTGAGAGATTTTTCTTGAGACTTGAACTTTTGTATCGATTTAAATCGATTAATACCATCTGGAAAAGTGTTGTGAATTTTTTGTAGTGAGCTGTTGATACTGGCACGAGGATCGTAAAAGCAAATATCATATAAATTTAATTTCAAAATTTTAATATTCAAAATTAAAACATTATTTTACCACTTTTTCAAGTTGGTCCGAAAGTTCAAAAACATTTTAAAAATTAGCTTCAGCTATTTTACTTGGGAAAAGAGAATCACAAAGTGAATTCTATCATGGAGACAAACGCCGTTTTGGGATGAAAAATCGAGTCGTAAAATAAAAGTATTCGTGCGTAATATCTGCTCATTATTTCTGGTAGTGGAATGATAACGGAAGACCTTAGAAGTAAAATATATGTAAAATAACTTTTGAGGCGATGGAATATTGGTGATATTTACACAATTAGTTTTCTTTTTGAAATTAGTTCCAAATTGGAATCGATAGTGAGAAATGCCACAAACAATTTTATGACTGTATTTGAAGGAAGACGGAAATATGTGAATATAAATTATTTTATACTACTATTACAGATGATACGAGATCATTTGCTTGTGTTACAGCATCACTAGTTTCATATGTGGGTGAAAAAATACATTGAGATGCAAAGTGACGAAGGCATAAACCGACTGCCAGGCTTGCGTGTTCCGCAATGTGAGAGCGTAGGCTTCCGCGGCCGGAGTCAGTATTTACTTGGCTGTCCGGGTGACGCCACATCTATGGCGAAGGTGCTGACGTTTCGGTCGGCCTTCCTCGTGTTCCCTTGGCATTACGCCCTGAGGAAGGTCGCAGAATGGCGACCGAAACGTCGGCACCTTCGCCATGGACGCGGCATCACCCGGACAGCCAAGTGTGTCCTTTTATTAAGGTAATGTATTTTTTTTAAACTTTTAGTAGTTTTCGCACAATATTGCGTGCAATATTTGTAGTTTTAAAGAATTAAACAAATAAGCTTTTCTCAAAACGACTCCAAATTTTTTCTTTAAACTTTTGGTAGGGATTGGTCTAAAAGCTATCTATAAGATGACATTATCGCCATATTGCTCTATTCTTTTGTTTTTTTCAAAAATTACAAACGTTGAAATTTTTTGACTTGTCTCTCAACTCGTATCGAATTTTCCTCCAGGAATTTTTTCGGAACCCTTAAAGCCACCGTCACCCACTGTCGCTATCTCCGGCCGCGAACGTGTTCGGGCGATAACGTGTTGAGGACGATCGCCGCCAAGCTGGACTTCTATGGATGGCGAGCGCGCGTGTGCACGCCGCATTCGCCGTCGAAACACCGAAACGAGAACGGCGATGCCCTATGCCACCTTGAGAACAAATTTGAATCTATTCTTACAAAAAGTTCGAAGAAAAAAATTGGATCCATTTTTGAGAATATATAAAAGATGTCTTTGGGGCGTCATTTAAAGTATCGCCAATTTTTAAACAATATTTCTCGAACTCGTAAAGCTTTTATCGACCAGTGAATATTCACTTTCGATAAAATTCTAAGAATACTTGTAGTTTTGGCCTTAGTGTTCACAGTTGGGTAGCCGGACGATCGAGTAGGTAGGTATCAGAGGGCCGCAAAACATGCTTTTCGTTGAAATCTCAAAATCTCAATTTTCCACATCATTACATAACTTTCTCTATACTACATATGTTACTCAGTATTTACGTACGTATACGATAATATAAAACAAATCCTGTGATGCGGAAAATAGCGAAAGCATTATCTGACAAATCCCAGTCGGGTCACAAGAGAACCGCCTGTTTGCCTGGCTCGCTCCCAGTCCGCTCCTCCAGTTATGTAAGTTTGGCTGGCAGGATCTTCGAAGTAACTAAGACACTGACTTTT